ACTACAAATACCCCAGAGAAACAAGGTTGACGATAGGCAACACAAATGTGAAGCCAAGAACAGGATCCTGATTCGCACTAATAGATGGAACTAAATTCCTACCTGAATGATAGTGTCGGTCCCAATTTGTGGTGTCTTAGCCAGTAGATGAAGAGGTGTTGCAAAGGTTGAATCATTACCGCCACCCTTGTGATACTCTGAAAGAAGCGTCTGTGTTGCCATGGCATCGGAGCGCGAGTCTTCCAAGGCCATTCTCATCGCATTCTCACCGGCCTGTCCTACCTTGACTAGATTCTCTAACTCCAAATCGGATATCTGTGGTGCGGGGAGCACCAATTTGGAGCGTTTAACCACAGGTTCACCGTTATCCTTTTCACGAGCCAGCAAGGCGCCAGGTAAATCTGACTCTAACCGCTTGGCTTGACGTTCAGCATCTTTCTTTCGTTCACGCTAAAACCAAAAAGCTAATCTAGCAATAAAAGTCCAAGCGCGGCAGTCGATAATGGGTAATAACAACTTACCTTCTCCCGCTCCATGAACGGCTCCTTTTCAATGTCGCCCAAACGTAGTCTATCGAAATTTATGGGCTTTGACTCAGGAAATTCACGACTAGTGTCATGGAAACCCTTAGGTGGTTGCTTCTCAAATGGAATTTCGCGGTTATAGTCGATGAATACGTTCTTGTTGACCAATGGTGCAATAGTGGAGGCCAAACCAGCCGCACGTAACTCCCTACGTTTTTGCATCATCGCCATTCGACGAGCAATTTCAAGCTGACGTTCACGCGCCTTTCTTTTCGCCTTCTTGCCCTGTGTGTTAGCCAAACGAGCTCTAGCCTCCGAGAGCATTTCTAATTCATCTTCGTCCATATCCACAGGGTCCGGACGTGCGGGTTTGGTTTCTGGAGTTGGATCGATCTCCCCCGGTCTTAAGCGACGAGGATCATCACGAGAGCTCATGTCGATATTTTGTGCTTTGTCTAGTAAATACTCGTAGCGCTCCAGACACTGGTTAGCAGTTCGACCAACGATGGGAGCAATGGTTCGCCATTGAGTGGGCATCAGTTTAGCCAAATGAAGGAGCTTCTCATCCTCCTCCCTGCTCCATTCAGTCTTCTTGACACTTGGATCGAGCCATTCATACCAGCGAGCTTTACATTGTTTATCGGATTTTCGGTGAAGAAGAGAAGCAATACGAGCCCATTGGTTTTTGCCATACTTCATTACGGCAGCCTTGAGGATTTCATCTTCTGTATTTCTCCAAACGCCGCCCTTAATATTAATCCTTGGCATTTTGAATCCTAGAAAAGGTCAGCACAGATGGAAATCTACAGCGACACCACTGCGAGAGCAGCCAAAGGCAAGCACAGCGGTGACAGAAACTGTGCCGTTTGGTGGGTTAAAACACGCGGACACAATGATCCAAGTTATAATATGTTGACCATTAAAATTAAAGTCCTGAATTTAAAACACAATAAAAGATTAATTTTTTTGAAAAACCTAATTTTGAATCCTGGTCAACTATGTTGTGACTACCAAAAGATCTTGGACGTTATGTTGACTGCTGCTGTAGCGACCCAAAAATTACCATCACGTTAGAATATCAGTATTTTAGGTTAACACATGTGTCATTAGGGTGTAAATGAGAGACAAGCTTTAGCTTGACTCGGAGACCAGCAAATGCGTGTAAGAACAGGACGCATGCCAACGTGAGCACTAGCCATTTAGCTGGTAGCCTAGAGCAAGCATTGCATACAAAGTGTACGAACATATTCTAGGGTTTTGTACCTCCGACTTTGTAAGATAATTGTCTGGAAATGATACTATATCATCCCAAGACCTCCTGGCCGGTACAAGAAGTCGGTAAGTGCAGCTGGATACATGTATTGTGAAGATGATAAGATAAATGGGCCTAAGCATGGCTAGATCAACCCTAAAGTGATAGCTAAACGTCATGCTGTCGCATAAACAAAGTATTACATATGCACCATCTCGTAATACCAGCACGGAATTCGTGTTCTTATTGACCAACTGCCACTACTATAAGGGAAACTTAAGCATCTACAACTTTTATTTTTGGCATTAAGTGGATCCCATATTAAGAAATTAATTTTTTACCCTTATTCTAAAGCGTACTTCGATCCACACCTACCTTCGACTTACTTACAAGTTGCAGGCCCGATTTGGGAGAAATGCCTCCTTGCCAAAAAAGCTTTTAAAATGGGAAAATAACCGGTGTAATATACTGCAGAGTGTGTTTACTACTCATTCCGCCTTCTAAGCTCACTTTAAAAATGGCTGAGTTATGCGTAACCCATGACTGTTGTCTTAAAGACAGCAATCGTCTTTTACACATTTTGTCCCATTCTTTAATTTTAACTTTTTAACTTATTCCTTTAACTTTCGGTCTTGTTTTAGCAATCTTCATACTTTAATAAATTTAGCAATGGTTAACCCTGGTATCGCGTCCTTTCAAAGCAGTTGCTCTCGTTTTGTCAATGGTTCTGTTCGTTGTGTGCGGCTTTGTAAAACAATTTTTATTTTATGCTTCTATTGTTTTTCCCGTCTTATCAATGACGG